CAATTGCTTTACTAAGGTAGGCAAAGGTCAAATTGTACTTGATCACATTCTTGTGCTGTCCATCGCCAATAGAGAAGACACAATACCTCAAGGCAATTTCCATGTACGAATTTCAACGAGGCGTTCAACTTCCTTCGAATTGAGACAGGTAGTGAACCACTTCCTTGTCTTTCTGCTATGCATCAAATCATGGAATATCACGCCATCGTCCTAAGCAACAAGGGAATCGTGAAGTTGGGCTTCAGTGTACGAAGGTAGAATGTTTCATAGAACTTAGTCCTTGTTTGGGTATATACAACTCTATTGCTCGTTGGAGGGGTGAGTATGGTGCCGGTCTACGTGTCTTGTCAGATAAAGGCATGATCTAAGTGATCTCGAGGAGGTATATGCCATTATACCTCTTAGTAGGGAACATTCAGGGATACTGAACAGCACATGGCTTCTTTCTTAGGGAGAATATGTCTCTAGAAGTAGTAAGGTCTAGTTCCAGCTCCCTACCTTAGTGTATCATATTACGCTGATATACAGTCATCAATCATCGGCGCCCTCTTGAGATGTAATTAGAGTACTAGGTTATCCCATCGAGTGCGGAATGGCATCAGTATATTTGCCTCTGTTTTTCTCCGACGTACACCCCTTTTCAGACTTATCTGATTAGGTGCAGAGCCAAGATGTACCACTGGATCATCAAGAAAAGGTCGTGGAATAACACGTGATTCGTTACTACGCTGAAGAGAAATGTATGTACCGACGCCATTCCGCACTCGATGGGATATTCAACCACTGAAGATCACAAGAATATATCCAGGGTTCACAGAAGGGAGTACGTCTACATGAACGAGTATGGAAGACGCCCGATATACAAACTATGTTGGAACGTACACCATAGGCGACTGAATGACAAGTTTCAGAGCGATAAAAGAACATGGAAGTAGATAGATTGGGATCATTCCACCAGACATCCGCTACCAAGGTCTCATTATTGTGTTGCCCATTGTATATTCAGGAGTTGCATAGTAAGATTGAGCTGCAAAATCAAGAGAACGGGATTATAGCACCTACGTGTCCGCCAACGTCAAGACCAAGAACTAGGCTCGAACTTGCTCAAAGCGGAATTCGAGAGCCCGACTTGAAGGCCGTAGCTGCAGATCACCTGGCCGACTACAAGCTAGGTAGACATGTCTCTGGCAGGTTTCCAGCTGCCCAGGCGTTGGGCGGTTGGATAAAGTACGACGAGAATCAGCCTATGGCGGAGGGGTGATCAGTGGCGCTCCCGCATTCGGCCAAGAAGAACAAGACTTGCAGCAGCGCAACTGGATAAAAAACATCATGACTGGATAGAAGAGGGTGCACGATGAAGGTTGTGTCAAGTTGCACAGCCTGAGCAGCCGAAGTACCTTGGGCGTTGTATCGGCTCGTCCCGACCCCCAATGACTTGATGTCTGACCTGTGCCATCCCAACAGTTGAGCTGGATAGCAGACATCCAGTCTTTCAGAATATTGAAGAACAACGTTGATTGTTAGTGTAGTTCTTTTTAGCTATACAAGTGATGGGTCAATTTGCCGTCACCTGATGTACATTGGAAATTGGATTTCATTGCGTGATTGCTGAGTCTTATCTTTGGTCGCTTGATGTCCGACGCGACGGGGGGACTCGACCGAAAAGCTGGCATTGATACGGAAAGCGAGGTTGTCGCTCGGCGAAAGATTGGGAGACATGGGCTTGTGGTGTCTGGCCGGGGTCGGAAGAGCCCCGTTGCGGCTATCGGTAAGGCTCTTCATTGGTGAATGATTTCGTCACACCTTTTGGTTCGGAGAAGATTTCGGAGTCGGTGGATTGGCCAATGGCGTGTTGTGCTGCTGAGTGAGAGCATGGGACGGTAGGATTGAGAAAGAATTGGCAGTTGACAGGGAATGTGGGAGAGCTGAGTCGCTGACCGAACATTCGCATTCAGTCCAGGCCTGGTCAGTTCATCCGCTCTCATTCATGATTCACGCCCGTCTCCATGGATGTCGCTGGAAGTTGAAAAGGGCTTACATGATCCACGACGGGAACCATGGAAGGAGGTTTAGTCATATTTGAGAGAGGTGACAGAATTACGGAGACTGAGAGGCGAACGGCGTTACGTTGACAAAACATGGGGAAAGGCGTTAGGTTTTAATCCAAGTGCCGAAGGAGGGAGGATCCTCTCCAGTCTTCACCCATGATGATGCAGCAGTAGGTCCCATATTGAATGTAGCAAATGGGCACGAACGGGACAAGAACGGGAACAAAGGGGGCGTTCTCGAAGGGCAACGAAGGCGCAGAGAGATGAGGTGCTTGGGGAAGCCGTGGGCTGAGAAAATGACGCCATCGCAGGCTCGCGTTAGCTCATCCCGATTGGGGAGATTGGCAGCCAGGATGGCGACATTCCAGCCGGCCTTAACCTCATCGTCGGTACTCGGGCGTCGGGGCGGCCCAGGAGTTGATGTCTGGGGATGCCTCTCTCGAACCTGAGTTCTCTTGAAGTTGTCTCCTCTGAAAGTTCATCTTTACGGATACTGTACGTTTGATAGGTACTTGCTAAGCGTGCCTGGGACCCGCAGAAAAATGACGAGCTTGAATTTCAAGGTGTCGTAAGTTCATGCCTGGCATTGGGCAACAAATTCAAGAATTTCACAGAGAGCGGATAGGACGGAGACTATCCGGTTTCTAAGCACCTCAGCTCAGGATGTCAGACACAGCCTGGCCCTGGAGCCCTGAGTGTCTGTGTTGTTTACCTGTTGCTAAGAGAAGGTGAAAATTCTTCTGTTGGATCCAGATGGACTGATTCAAGGAGACCCGGCAGATGACGAGAGAGAAACTGCAAAAGACGTGGCCGAGTGAGGGCGATGAGCTAATCTGGGTCCAATGGAACGGGACTGGGCAGAATTGGCAGAATAGAGGGAAAAATTGAAGAGCAGGTGACTCTTTCGTGGATAGTCGTGGACCATTTTAGTGCCTGGTTGCGCATGTTGTTAGGTAAGCCCGGCCGACGTTAGCGAGTTGTGCACCTCGAAATTTCCTCGCCCACATCACAAATACACAAAGAGGCTCAACAGAGTCTTGGTCGATGCAACCACCACGATGAGCCTCAATCGGTAGCGATGAAGATGAAACTGGGGAAATCGTGACAGATGACAGACGGGAGAAGAATAGTTTGATTTGTGCTTCACACCAAATGTACTTCACCTAAGGTAGAGGTATTAGTGTATTGCACCTTACTACCTAAGTATGTAGGTAAGGTAAGGTAAGGTACCGAATACATAATAGGAGTACGGAGTACGTACTTGGGTACTTGTGGATGTTGCTAGCACAGTTGAGGGAGGTGCATCGCGGGGTGCCAGGCTTGCCTGCCAGGTCTACAATTCGTAGATGCCCTTTTTGGCTTGTTCGCTTGTCGGCGTAGCCTCCTGCCCTCCCAGTTGTCTCCCCCGCAATCTAATCAGTCGGCTATCGGAGGCAAGTGCAGCGAGACCCGTCCGCTGCCGCCTTCCCACCACCAGCGACAACCGTCTGCCAAAGAAGGCGGCCAATCACATTACCTCTCTAAAGGGTATAATGGGTACTCCAAAGTAGCGAGCACGTCTTAGTGGGTCTGGACCCCTGGGAACCGCTGTCGACAAGTGGAACCTCTGGGGGACCCACACACCTGCCCAGGCTCAAGTTGCTCAACCACCGCTGGTAATCCTAGCGATAACGCCATTTTCGCCCCAAAGCACTCAAACCCGCCTCTTTGGTGCTGGCTCCGTCTACGGCTTTGCCAACCAACTGCCTCTGCCCGCCTTCAGCTCAACCAGCACCAGCAACGAATCTCAAAGCCTACCGTACAGATCACTGCAATAGAGATAGAAAGGACGAGAGAAAGACAAGAGCATCAAACCTTTTATTCCACCGACGCCGCTTTCGAATCAGCCGCTCTTAAGAACACACCGATCCCTTCCTACTACGAACAAACATTCGCAACCTACACTATCTACATAGTACTTCGAATATCTCTCGATCCAGCCTCGGACGAACCCAGACCGCACCCTCCCACAACCTCACACACTACTTCGATCACGACACCGACACCCTCAAAGGCGACGACGGTGCACTGCGACCACGATACTTTCCTCCCTTCCTCCCTCCTTCAACTCCGTTCGCCTCGTCTGAACCTTGTCGCACCCCTCCCCTTACTATTCGTAGCTATCGGGCAACAAGACCTGACCCTCTCCTCTCTCCGCCGCCAAACAAATCCGTCGCAATCAGCAGGCCAACAAGGACGAGAACAGAAGAAGAAAGCATCTAGACGACTTCCACCGCTGCGCGCAGACCACAGCACCCCTCCTCCCCCGGCCGACGAATCACCAGGGGCTCAACCTCCTGCCAAACCTGCCTCGAGTCTCAACACAAACGCCCGCGCGCGACTTCGACAAACTGCACTCGAATTGCGTGCCCTCTGTGCAAATTCCGTCCACAACGACACCCCTCAGAACCAGTCGGAATCCGTTCCTGCAGATCGTCCGGGGCATCCATCTTGGGCAGCTGCTCAGAGAACCTATATTCAGACACCCCATACTCTTTTTCCACCAAAAAAGATACACGCCAATCCTCTTCCAGTACCTGTGACGCCAGGTCTCTCTCCACAAAGTTCCTACCCGAAATCGACCTTCCCCTGGCTCGCACGCCATCGCCAGGTCCTCTCGCCTCACCAACACCCAAAACGCCCATCGACCACGACTGTCACTCTGTCACTCCCTCCCCGTGTCACTCACTGTACCGTACGGATACACGGTCATCCCGCCCCCCGTCGTCCTCTGACTCTACGCTCGTCATTTGCTTTGTAGGCTGTGTTCCTCATTGTACACCTCCCCTACCGCCGCCCGCGACACCAACAAACCCAACCGAACGGCTTCCGTCTCGCCCCGGATGATTTGACACCATTCACCCCAACTGTTCTGTGCTCTGCTTCCATTGCTTGCTGAAACATATTGCGGCCATGGACCTCGCAAGCACGTCAACCGTCCCGGATCCCCGGAGCCTGAACCTAAACTTGAACATGGGCCTCGACCACAACCTCGACTCCAATAACTCGTCGCCCAGTCACCGCCATGACGAGCTCGCCTCGACTTCTCCTTCCTCTGACTACTTCAAGAACACACCGACTTTCACCGCTACTGCCGACGTAAACTCCACACCACTCTCCTCCTCCACCTCCCATCACAACCACAACCACAACCACAACCACACACTTGCTCCCAACGCCGCTGCCGCCGCCAACGATGTGACTACTGTGAACCATCCATCCAGAGACAACTGCGACAGACGGAGACCTGACGAAGGAGAAGTCTCAAAGTTCCCCGCGAACATGCCTACCCAGCTCGTCGGCCAGACAGTTACCCCCTTCCTCCGAGAACACATCCCCGGCATCTACGCTCCCATCGGCAAACCCGATGTCCAAAACGAAAACAACAACTCCCTCATCCAGAAGCGAGACCCTACCAACAGCAAGTTCTGTTATCGTCACCGCCCCGACGCAAAGTGTCGTCGCGCGGCCGACGAGTCCAAGATGGTCTTGATTCAAAGTGTAAGCCCGTCTTGTGTTGATGCCCACAGGGCCTATCGACTCCGTGCTAACACGTCTGGCGCACAGGAACTCGATAAGCTGCCGTCTGCCGATCAGCAAGCCATCACACACGTGTGGTCCCTCTTCTCCGCCGCCCCCGCCAAGCACCGCGACCTCATGCTCCAGGGTATCATCACTCAATGCTGCTTCCCTCAACTGTCCACCGTTTCCCGAGAAGTACACGAACAGCTGAAGATTGACTTCATGGCTGCGCTGCCGACCGAGATCTCATACAAGGTTCTTGGCTACCTCGATACTGTCTCCCTCTGCAAGGCCGCTCAAGTCAGCCGAAGGTGGCGGGACCTCGCCGACGACGACGTTGTCTGGCACCGCATGTGCGAGCAACATATTGACCGCAAGTGTACCAAGTGCGGCTTTGGCCTTCCCCTCCTGGAGCGTAAGAGGCTACGAGACTGGAACAAGCAAAAGGAACTCGCCGAAGCCAGGAGCCTGCAACAGGATGCTGCCGTACAAGAGGTTGAAGAGGTTGAAAAGACCCCGACAGCCTCGTCGCCCAACGCCAACAAGAAGCGAGAACTAGTTGTCCTCGACGACAGCCGAAAGCGTGCTTGCCTGAGCGACCCGGGCGAGCCCATGGCACCCAAAGCCGGGGCAGACAAGGAGCGAGAACGTCTCATTCGGCCGTGGAAGAGTGTCTACCGTGATCGTTTCAGGGTTGGCTTCAACTGGAAGTACGGTCGATGTCACATCAAAACCTTCAAAGGACACGACAACGGCGTGACCTGCTTGCAATTCGACGACGAGATTCTTGCCACGGGATCCTACGACGCCAAGATCAAGATTTGGAACATTGAGACGGGAGAGGAGATTCGCACTCTGAGCGGGCACACGATGGGCATCCGTACCCTCAAGTTTGTCGGCAACAAGCTCTTCAGCGGTAGCTTGGATCACACAGTCAAGGTGTGGAACTGGCAGACGGGTGACTGCATCAGCACGCTACGTGGCCACAGCGAAGGTGTCATCACGGTCGACTTTGATGGAAAGTACCTCGCATCGGGTTCCATCGACAAGTCGATTAAGATCTTCAACTTTGACAGCAAGGAAACGTTCTGCCTCCGTGGCCACGAGGACTGGGTCAACCACGTCCGCCTGGACCCTGGATCGCAGACGCTCTTCTCAGCCTCGGATGATTGCACTGTTCGACTTTGGGATCTGCGGAACAAGACATGCATCAAGACCTTCGAGGGCCACATGGGTCAAGTGCAGCAGATTCTGTTGATGCCGGAAGACTTTGAGCCCGATGAAGAGGCACTCGCTGGTGATGGCGCCGATAACGTGTCAGTTCACAGCGGCAGCGGCCGGAGCACGACGCCGACGGCGTTTGCCAACGTGGCGTCGATTCTCGGCTCTTCTTTCGGCGGAGGAGATTCCGGTTCCCCACCGGAGGACGACCGGACGTCGTTTGGTTGCGCCTTCAACTCGGACCCCACCCGGCAGCTGCCGCCCCGCTATATGCTCACCGCCGGTCTCGACAACACGGTCAAGGTGTGGAACATTCACACTGGCAAATGCCTCCGTACCATGTTCGGTCACGTCGAAGGTATCTGGGGCCTCGTCGGTGATACTTTGCGTATTGTCACCGGCGCCAACGACTCCATGGTCAAGGTCTGGGAGCCCAAGAGCGGCAAGTGTGAGCGCACCTTCACTGGCCACTCTGGCCCCGTCACCTGTGTGGGCTTGACCGACAGTCGCATGGCCAGCGGAAGTGAAGACGGCGAGGTGCGCCTGTACAGCTTCGAGGCAGAAGCACCTCTCCTCGAGGAATGTGGTACTCCAGCATAATGGAGCAGCGATGGAAAGTTTTGTGTTTCTTCTTTTTTGTGTTTCTTTTCTTCCTTGTGAAAAGGATTCCATTGTTTCAGGCGGGAGTTTTGCAAAGACGATTCCCCAACGGCGATTCATGAGAGACGGGCAGTGTTGTTTGCACAACGGAGAAGCGACTCCGTTGCGGCCCATCTCATTCTTGTTCAGATTATTTAGATGTCCTCGTGGACCACAGGGACCGGGACCGGTACTAGGACGGGTGACGAAGCCCGGCCATATGGGATGGCGTTTGAGGAGTCATTTTATTTTCAAGAAACCCGATAGGAAAACCGAAAAAGGGAATTGGGTTGGGTGGCATAGGAGGGAAAATCTAGCGGCGCGCTTATTCCAAGTATGGAATATATCATGAGCCCTCATTTTAATCTACTACAAAATTTACGAGTCGTACCATTGGTTTTCACATGCTTTTGTCACACAGACGGGCAGGTTGTGTGTTGTGGTGGTGGTGGCTTGTCAGCCTCACCCGCTTGCGACTTTCATCTGATACTGGCGCCGCAAATCAGCACCAGCACCAGTGCCAGACCTTGCCAGGTCCAAGCTAGTTTCCCGTCCCTCCATCGCCAGCCTTGATCAGGTGACGGCCATGTGGCGGTGCCTGCATGACTAAGCTTGAAGGGGCATCAGGAAGTTGTTCGGTTCACCCATGTCCATTTGACTGTGTCTCTTGCAATCACTGTTCTCTCAGAGAGGATGAGACGAGACGAGTGAGGTGAGTACAAGGCATGGGAACTCGCTTCATTACTACAGTGACGAGAACGGCGGTAGAGTATTAGCCATAGAGATGAGAGAACTCGTGTAAAGGACAAAAGGGAGTGAGTCAGTGGCCTGGATTGAATGACTGAGTGTGTGAGTGAGTGAGTGAGGCCAGGACCAGCGTCCGAACCTCGGCAACTTCTGGCGAATGAGTCTGGCCAGTCGGGAGGGCGGAAGTAGCCGGGCCCCCAACTCCCCACACTCTGAGTACCAGTTCCGCACTTCCTTGCAGCAGCCGCCGCCGCCTCTTTGCCATTGGGGATGTTTCCCCGCAAAATCACAAGCTCGGCTTGGGGTCGGCAAAGCTGCGAGTTGGGCCCCGTTCTCCCCCCTTTCGGTGTGTGTCTGTCTAGGTATTCTCTGCCGCAGCATGCCGCACGCTGGAACTGGAGCTGCAACTGGAACGGAGTCAACTGCCGCTACGTCACTTTTGGGGGTGTGGACTGTGGAGCGATATGTCACAGGCCGAGGAGACGTGAAGAGAGGAAGAATAGGAAGACATGATGAAGTAAGTGACGGGCAAACAACACATGATCACACTCACTCCAGGCTCGACGTAGGCATGTCAGTTAGCTCCCTTGGTCCAGCCAGTGTCTGTTCAACGCTCAACCGGAAGACAGTTGGAGACTGTAGATGATCCAAACAGCAAGGAATACCAAGAACCTGAGATGAGAGATGAGGTCCAAGGTACGCTTGCGGTCTCCAATACCTATGCCAATCACACCCCCGCCTGGCCTCCGTTCCGCCGAATCGGGATGGTATGTCGCAGCGCAAACCCGCTACAGAGTCACAGACGTCTGAAGAGTTCAATGGTTTGAGCCACTCAGACATTGGTCCCCGTGCTGCCTCTCTCTCTCTCTCCTCTCTCCAGAATGTTGTCCCTTCTCATCTGTCCATGGCATGGAAGACTAGAAGTCTATCCGTACACGCCCCCCTTCCCCCTCACGCGCCCGGTTTACCGAAACCCCTGGCGCTGGTGTGTGCCGTCGTCCTAGGCTGGAAAGCTGAGGTCTGTCTGGCTGGCCTCGTTGTGCCGCGGGTGAAGGGGGAGATGGAAAAGACCTTCTCCTCATATACTTTTCTTGTCTAGCTCCTCAAACTTACACTCCCCGTTACCGGTGTGTATGACACCAGGCACACACACTCACTCTCACTCTCCCCAAGACAAGACCAAGACCGCCTTACACGCCTGTGCTCGGGACGAAACCTCGAGTCATCTGCTTCTTCCTGTCCTGATTCTATTCTGGCTTGTGCGGCGTGCTTTTGACATTGGCCACCCCCCTCCCCTCCCCTCCCCTTCCAATGCCATGCCATGCCCCCCTCCATCTAGTCAGTAACCGTATGCGCCACCTTTTATATACATGATTGCCCGCTCTACCGTGGCTTCTGTCATCGGCGCCGAGGATGTTTGGCTTTGCCTTTGTACGTCCCTGGCAGCGACTTGTTCCGAATCTTCTTCTTATTCTATCCCGACTTCTTCCCATGCCAGCTTCTCCCTTGTGATTCTCATGATACCCTCCTTCTTCTCTTATTTACTGTGACGCATCTCGCATCCCCATCTATACTCTAGATCAACAACACCAGTGCTCGCTTTCTCCTTTGTTGGTTTCGGCGCAAGACTTGCTGTCTCCTCTCTTCCCTATCAGTCATATCATCTACTTTCTTCATCTTGCGTCATGTCGTCCAAGGTAAAACAAGACGGCAAGGCGCCGACCTCGGCCGCTGTGAACCTCATTGGTATGTACACTACCTCTCGCAAGACCGGCGTGGCAGAGACATCGTCACTAACACAACCCAACAGCCGGAGGTGGTGCAGGGATGATGGAGGCATTGGCATGTCATCCCCTCGGTAAGACTCCCTCCTCTTACAGCAGCACCAAGGGCGCGCATATGCATGCGCAAGCACACACGCCTACCCGAAAGATGTGAACGAAAGTCAATTGACATGGGACCAAACCCACAGACACGATCAAGGTCCGAATGCAGCTGTCGCGGCGCGCGAGGCAGCCCGGCGCACCCAAGCGCGGCTTCATCAAGACGGGTGTCGAGATTGTCAAGAAGGAGACGCCGTTGGGTCTGTACAAGGGTCTCGGTGCCGTTCTGACGGGTATCGTGCCTAAAATGGCCATCCGCTTCACGAGTTTCGAGGGGTACAAGAATGCTTTGGCGGACAAAAACACGGGAGTTGTCAGTGGACAGGCGACATTCTTGGGTGAGTCATCCTACAAGAGATGTGCTCTTCTGCCAGTATACCAAACGAGACTAACCTCTGGTCTCGTGTAATAGCCGGTCTCGCTGCGGGCGTCACGGAAGCCGTCGCCGTCGTAACGCCTATGGAGGTTATCAAGATCCGCCTCCAGGCACAACACCACAGCATGGCTGACCCTCTCGATATCCCAAAGTACCGCAACGCCGCGCACGCGCTCTACACGGTCGTCAAAGAGGAAGGCTTCGGCGCGCTGTACCGCGGCGTGTCGCTGACGGCTCTGCGCCAGGGCAGCAACCAGGCTGTCAACTTCACGGCTTACTCGTACTTCAAGGAGGCCCTCAAGAAGTACCAGCCCGAGTTTGAGAAGACGACGCTGCCGGGCTACCAGACGACTCTGATTGGTCTCGTCAGTGGCGCCATGGGCCCGTTGAGTAATGCGCCGATCGATACCATCAAGACGAGGCTGCAAAAGACGCCGGCCGAGTATGGCGTTAGCGCGTGGAGTCGCATCACCAAGATTTCGGCTGATATGTTCAAGTATGTGGCTGCCTCTCTCTTCTCCGTCTCTTGTCCCAGTAAAATTATACTGACCGCATCAATAGACAAGAAGGATTCCACGCCTTCTACAAGGGCATCACGCCGCGTATCATGCGAGTTGCGCCCGGCCAGGCTGTGACGTTCACCGTCTACGAATTCCTCAAGGAGAAGCTGGAGAAGAGCAACCTCGCCTTCTCTGGAGCTGGCTACGAAGAGTAAATCGTGCTTACGACACGGCAGTGACGCAGTAAAGAACTGTTTGTTTTCCACGTAAAGAGAAGGGGAATGTCTGTCGATGTGCAAGATACCAGTGCCTTATCTGCGTACTAAGGGGCGGCTCTGTGATTTTGGAAAGACAAGAATGCGCAACGTGGTAGATTGGGAAAAACGTGCAAGTAGTAGATATGCACGGGAGCACAATGTTCATAGAAGGTACTGCATTGCGTATGAAGTCTTGTCTATCATTAGCCCGATCCACGGGCTTTAGTTGTAATGTGCGTTACACGCGCTCGATCCCAAACTTTTTTCTCTTTCCACCACAAAGCTGCTACGGCCAGGGCCATGTTCGTCTACCGACCAGGTCTCTTGGGTCTGCTAAAGTTTTGTCGCACCGTCACCTTGGGGTGTAGCTCCGAGAGAACCGTGTCCTCGGTGATCTCGCTGGGGTCCTCAACCTCGAGCTTCTTATCGAGCGTCAACCCTGCCTCACTAGACGCCACGTCCAGTACGGCGCGCTTCATGAGGGGGTACAGCATGCGGTTCTTGATGGACCTGTTGCCGGCGTTGACGGGACAGGTATAGATGAAGAGCAGGGGGCTCGACTCGGCTCCGTTGTGGGTGTGTGAGAATCGGTAAAAGGTGAAGCGCGGCTCGGTGGAGGAAATGGTCTGCGTGAGCTCGGCAATAGAGGAGGGGCTTTCGCTAGAGGGGACGAGCTCGACAGACTCCTTTTCGGGATTGATTTTCTATACATATCCAGTCAGCCATGCAACATCAAGAAGAAGCGGCGCAGAGGTATCGAACGTACCAGCATCACCAATGTCTTGCCACTGTCCGGTGACAACTCCTTGAGTGCGGCGAGAGCGTCCTCGGCAATGGGCATGGCCAGGGTCTTGCTAAGATGGATCTCCCTGGTTCCCGTACCGGTGCTGGCCTCCTGTTCGGCCTGCTTAACGGCGCCGAGGCTGCGCTCCTCCTCCGTCAACGGAGCCTCGAGCTCGGTGTGAGCATCATGTTTAGCGAAACCTTTGGCAGATAGCTCCTCTGCCATGGTAGCAAAGATGGACTCGCGGAAGTGCTCGGAGCCTAGCTTTCGGACCAGGGTCAGGCGGGTGGACGCAAAAAGCATCTTCTGGCGAACCTTGGCCGAGTCGGGGACATAGGTGACGGCTGTTAGGTGCGGAGCCGTATCATAGCGGCGAAGGAGGGCATAAAGGGCTTCGTTGGGCTTAAGATGAGGCTGGAGGGAAGCGAGGTTGTCGTCGAACGAGGAAGAGGACGATGCCTTCTCGAGGAATTGGACGGGCTTTAGGGTCTCGGCTTCAATGGTGATGAGAAGTCCGAAGTGGTTGTCGGTGGACAGGAGAGTGTTGAACTGGGAGATGAGCTCCTCAGAGGCTACCGGACGTTAGCTCTTGGAACAAATAGTACTCTATCGAGAGGAGAGCAATGACTACACACCGGAGATGCCTGACTGCATCCTGGCGATTGAAGACCGAGGTGCGTCTCGAAGCGTGCGTTTACAATTGAGCTTGTAGGTTGTAGCAGAGAAAAAACAGCAGGTCTAGTAGTATATATGCCCGACACCTCTATGCAGGAGATCTGGATGCCAAGGCGGACGCGTTGCGAAGCGGAGTATTCGGTGAGGTTGTGAGGTGGTGTTTGAAGCTTGAGATGCGGCGCCGCTACGTCAGCTGGCGGGTGGATCCAGTGGACGGAGACCACGGTTATGGAGGGGTAGGAGCAGTTGCTGGGGACACTGCAAGCTGCCACTCTGGCGGGCCTCCGCCATTCCATTGTCTGCCTTATGTCAGCATCACCATTTAGATAAGACACCTAGATCTATCATTATCTTATCTCTTCTTATCGCTTCGCCTAAGCAACGTACCTTACCTTAAGGTACCTTACCTAACGTAGGTAGCTCCCAACATCAGAAATATCCATCAAGACGACACAAGGTAACATTACATCCGACTTGGGTTCAATTAATTCAGCGTCATGCGATCATCTTCATGCCTCGTTTCATACTACATTGAGTTTGTTCAACACTCAGCCATGGCTACATTCAAACGATGCGACTCCAATAGACACATCCCAAGTACGCAGCCGTGATGGCGATGGCATACGGCACAACCGCCCGGGCAGCCTGGACCCAAGCTGCTCGACGTATGACTCTGTCCGACTCAGTATGGGAAGCCTTGTCATTGACTCTCGGGAATGATTTGTCTTTGGGCACGTCCTTCTCAAGGAACTTGCAAAGAGGCTCCCATCCATCTTCGCCAACGCGATACACCAAAAGCCTTTCAGGCGCCACATGAGCCTTGACGCGCTCTGAATGCTCTCGGAAGACATCCGGTGCTCGCCGATGCAGCTCCTCGATTGTGCGAGCACCACCAAAGAAACCGCTGATAGTCTTCTGCATGGCGAAGCCAGCCCTATTACCAATTACCATGCCCACACCCTTGAGAAATAAGTCAACCCACGGCCCAAACAGCGGCTGGATAACTTGGCTGTCGAAGCTTGGAAACCACTTGTCAAAGTCGCGTTCCGTGAGAATGATCTTGGCATCGGGATAGGCATCGATCAGCTGCACTGCCCAGAAACAGGACAGGTCGGTTACCGCGTCGTACGACCCGAAGAGTTCGTCCCAGTCTTTGCGAGTGAACGGCGTGGGAGGAGGTGTCTGGCCCTTTGCGTTCACTTCAGGCCAAGTCGCAATGGCGGCTCGCTCGAAGAATGCCCAGTGCGTTGGTTTCGTCCGGGAATTCAGACCGTGGAAGACGTGCTTAAAGCCCAGCTCAGAGAGGGCGGCCGCGAGAGAGTTCGTGCCTGTGCGAAGCATACCGACGGCCAAGACCTTGGGAGGCCCAGCATCTCGAGCTTTCTCCTCGTGGGTGGCCATGGAAATGTTTGATTGACTTGGCACGAGCGAGCGGAATCAAGAACTTCGCATCCCACGTCGAGAACCCAGGATTCTGTTGGTTGCAGCTGAATCTCATGAGCTGCAGTTGAGATAGGGCAGACTGTCGAGTCAATAAGTTACCGCCAAGCCATCCTCCCTCGTCAGCACTAAGGGCGCCACATAGCCTTCTTGTGGTGAGAGAGACCGAACCCCACCACCGCGCACCACTTCAAAACTCAAGGCAGCGTTTCAATTGATTCGGCATCCTGATTGTGCTTCAGCGTCTGTCCTCCTACTCGCGATGGACCGTTGCGTCATCTTCCTGATGTTTCCATATCGGATCTCTTCGATAAGTGTGCAGTCTCTTAACATCATGTGACCAGCTGCTTTCTGCTGCGCATAAGCAACTCACGGTACTTCTCCAAGCTCTTTCCGATGATATTGATGAATGGCCATTGCGTGTTGCTTTTGAAAAAGTGTGCCCATATTCTCAAAACCGCAAGGCTCAGTGAGGCGGGATCTCGATCCGTTGACGTTTCGGGCTCATCGTCTTCGAAATCGACGACATCGTACGCCTCTTCCACAATGCACCGAACCCAGTGCAAGATGCGATCCTCGCTGTCTGTTAGTCTCTTGTCAGTCTGGGGACGCCGAGAGATAGTCATGAACAAGCATGGATCAGCTTACCACTAAGAGGCGTTGTCGCGACGGATTCAGTGAGTGATGAGAGCCATTTACTGAGCAGAACCGCACACTCTAGCCCCGAAAGTGAGTGACGAACGCTCCAAAAGAACGCCTGGCTACGCGCGACACGGTCAACGCCAAGTCGTACAGGGATACTGAGCATATGAGCAGTGTACAGCAGCGCGGTGATGACACCACCACTTCGCTCCACGGCCGGAGACCGGTTGATGGCCTTGGCGATACGCATAGGGTCTCGAGATTCAAGAAGTCGGTACGGACCAAGGTGAAGGTAGATGCGCACATAGGCGAGGCCGAGCAAAGAGCTGGATGTGAAGGGGATAGGTCCATTCTCGTTGTTGGGGTCAAGACTGGATTCGGGAGCTTGCTGCCACCCTGCGGTCCAGGAACGCAGGCCTCGTCTTCATCAGGATGTCAGTATCACGTTACGAACTGAGAGTCAACACGGGAAGAGGGACTGACTCAAGCTTGTCAACCTCTTCGCTGGGAAGAGACGCTGACTGATCCATGACTGGTAAAGACAAGTCGCGGACAATGAAAATCCTCTGGAGGAGCCCATGCAAGAGGATGTAGTTACCCAGTGGTGTTGGAATGGGGTCAACGGGAGCAGTCCCGTCTGTGTTCCTCAATAGCAATGACAAAGCGTCTTGAAAGTACAGTTGTTGCTTCTCAGTTTCCTGGCGAGCGGTCTGCCACTGGCACGCCGACTGCGCTTTCCACTCTCCAGTCGAGCAAGGGAGTCGAAGACCAACCTCGTTGCTGCGTAGCACAGGATACACGTTATATGCGATGCTGTGAGTGTGCATGAAGGAAAAGGCAATGAGCTTGGCTCGGCGCGTAGACTCCTGTCGCACCCATGCTTGCCAGGCGGCTTGCGGGGTGGCCTGATCGGCAGGAAGTTGAGGGACATCCTCTTCATAAAGACCAACTTCTCGAAGGATCTGTGCCAGAAGTGCCTGTAAAGCAAACGCTTCCTGCACGAGTGACACTTTGGGCTCCCAAGTGGCGTAACCCATGAGGGCAATCAGGGCCCGAACTGTCTCTATTGGTTCCCAAGAACCCCAGTCCCTCTCCCGGAAACCTTGCGAGGCGCGGCGTTGTGGCGTCAGGTTGTGAAAATTCAGAGATGAACTGGTATTCGGACCAAATGTTTCAGACTCGTGCATCAACCTCTCCATGAGAATAGTCTTGCCCGCATGAAAAAGTCTCTCGGACATGCGATGCTCGAAGCAATACTGGGCGCCGACTGCAGCGAGGCCGAGAATGAGTTCAATGGAGTGTTCAGGGACTCGCCATGTTGGCGTATGTATGAATGGCATGTGCGAGTGGAATCCCTCGAAGAATGAGGTTAGATAGCGCGATAAGGCGTGCCGTGATGGGAACTTGAAATCTGGATCGAGAATGTCTCGAAATGTTTCAATGGAGTTGTTCAGACGATGCCGCTGCTCGTCTGATATACGGTACGGTTGCGAATCAATGTCAACAGACCGCGGGTCTTATTTACCATGTCAGCTAAGATGGCTTTGGACAATACGCGAGCCTTTGATAAACACTCACTTGTGTCTGGCAAGGTTTCAGATATCCGATTGCCAGTGGGCGCCGATGGTAGCCACGAACTAAAAGGCGTCCCCGGTCGAGTTCTACTATTACGGGCCCCCGGCGTAGTTGTCCCTTCTCTGGACATTTTCACCGTTGTGTCGGTAACCTCGTGATCTCTGTCAGGGCCGTGAAAGTAGGGGCTCCATTCCGCTGGCAGCCCAACACCGTCGAGAAAGTTGGCAAACTCTCTGAAGTGGGCGTCAAATCCCACAGCATCTTGATTGCCTAATACTTTTGCGTTAGCTTTCAAAAGTCAGAAAAGCGGACTCGAGCCATCAACCAACCATTTTCATAGAATTGATCTCCAAGCAGAGCCTGCTGATATGAGGCATCTACGAGAGCGCCGTTCCGTGGGACGGCCATGGGATACAGCTCTGACGGCGGTGCAGGTGGTTGTTGCTGTTGTGCCCAGTGGTCCACGCTCATCCCCGAGAGGGAGACGGCAGCAGCCACATCAGCCTCAACAGGCCCATGGGTTTCCCCCGAGTCCGGCTCCGATGGGACCCCCGGAGACTCAGATCCATCCTCATGGAAAGCGATCCGCTGATGGCGGGTCAGCAAGTCACGCCGGGCAAAGGCAGCTCCACATCGACAGATGAATGGCTTCTCCTTGGTATCTGGAAGAACGTGCCGGTTAGCATCGTAGCACGTGGCAGTATCCCGAGCGTCTGGTCATGGAATGGGCTAGTAGTGTAGCGCCAGCAGGAGGGGTAGCTGATCGTTGACTCCAGACAAACATCACTCCAACACTTGGAGGAAGCTGAGGGAGGGGGGACGACTGACGCGTTCGCACATGGCGCTCCAAGTGCTCGGTGCGCTTGAACGTTCGTCCACAGTGAGGACAGGACCGCGCATCAGGGCCGTGACCGGTTCGCCTCCTTCGCTTGACTGGAGTCGAGTGTGGTCGCGGAAGCTGCTGCTGCTGCGGCTGCTGCTGGTGAAGCGGCTGCGATTGCGGCTGCGGGTGCGGCTGTGGATGCGAGCTCGTGCCGTTGTGGGACAGCATCCTTCCCACCTTCGCTTCGCGAGACTCTTCGGGCTTCTTGCGTGTTGGAGTTGAGGGAGACCAGGTAAGTTGGAGAGCAGAGGCTTTGGGGCATCCATCAGGCTTATGTTGGAGAAGACTGCAGCTGCTTGTGGGTCTTGCTTGACAGAGATAACTCCAACTGCCGTGGATTGGATCGCCCGCTATCTTTGGAGACTGACTCGTAATCAGACACCCCCTTGGCTCTCTACGACCCTGTGACCCTGCAACCCAACGCCCTTATCTAACGGAA